GTCCTTCCGCCAAACATAGTCGGTGCAGGTTCCACGTTGGTATGGCTGCCAGATATTCGTGCGGACGCTGTAGTCGAGCTGGAATCTTCCTGTACGCTCTGCAGGACGTTGGTTCCCAACGGACGTGGTGTGCAGCTCAGTTGATCTTTACTCGGGTTCGTCGCAGACGTCGTCTTCGTCGCAGCTCTCTCGCGTGCGAACCGTTGTTCCATCAGATCCAACATCTGCTGGGTAAATTGCTGCATAAAGGCGCCGGGTTGAAGGTCTGCATTGTCTGTTGTACTGACGACGCATCTGAGACGGATGAGGCTTCTTCCGAAAGGCGTTGATCCTTCGTGCCGAACGTCTGCATTGAAAGGTTGTCCTGCATGGTCACTGTAGAAGACGTCTTCTTCTTAGATGTGATCTCAGGGATGAGGATGGGCGGCTCATCGTAGACATCTACTTCTTCCAGAGGGACGATCTCAGCTGAAAAGGACCTCGTTTTCTGCGTTGCCCCATGTGCAGACTTCGACGAAGTCCAGTTGTAGCTGACTTCTTCCTCTGGGAAGATGATGCCCTAGTCTTCTTAGACTGCGAAGAGGAAGTATCAGATGTAGATGACCTCTTCCTCAAGCCAGCGTTGTCTATGGCGGCAACCTCCTCCGTAGACGACCCCCGGTAGACCACTGGAATGGTGCATCTGCTCAGACACCAACTGCCGGTCCTCTGCAAGCTTAGCCGGTTTAGACATGTCGTGTAATTCTCATCTGGACCTGTCCTTTGCACGTCTAGACAGATAATATGAATATTTGTAAAATGCAATATCAGACAGGTGAAAACACAACTGACAACGAGTGTCAGATAAACATATAGGCTTGCAATTAGGACATAGGTTATGCGGATCAACAGCAGACAAACGATACCTACAACCAGAACAAGATTTCATCAATTGTAAACAATGTGAATAATCACGTAAAAACGTGACAAAAACGGAGAAATTTGAGAATTAATTCCGTAGAATATTGTAGGTAAATGTTAACTAAAGCCTTATACAGCTAATTTAGAAGAAATGCCTAAGGATAATAATAAAAGGATATAAAGAAGATAGGGGACCAGGTGCTCTCACAACCGCCCACTCGGGAAAGGAGGTGAGAGAGTGAAGAGCATGGGAGAAAGGGATTCAAGTGTTCTACCAAAACCTGGGAAGGGAGGTGACTCCTGGTAAGTGATAAGGAAAAATCCGCTTTTGAAGAAGTTTCAAAGGGGATTCAAGTGTTCCAATTAGTTATCTATGAAGGAAAGGGAGACAAGCAATGGCATAGCATGAGTCAGGATAAGGAAAAATGGTGAAATATTCGGATTTCTGAATGACTGGATGATAAGATGACTCCGAGTCATTTGGGCCAAATGTCTGTGTTTAATGGCTTGACATAGTTGTCATGTGATAATGTCATATCAACAGATCTATAACATCAAACATACATATTTGAGGACATTAGGAAAACATCATTTCAACACTGCATGGAGATTGTACATACTGTTGACTATCAGATGTAAACGTCTTAATATGTTCATAAGTATATCAATTTATATCTCTTTACATCAAAAATGGTTTTTAAGTACAATTAGGAGATAAACGTACCTTGTTTGAAAATTAGATGAATGTTAGACCGAATTGATAGTCTCTAGATTTATCATTTGAAACCTCACGCTATGCTACAGTACATTTATGTCCATTCTACCATAAACGATCTAAAATCGAACTGCTTCGTTCTGCGGAAGACACTGCGTAATCCAGCATGGCACGAAAGGTGAATTAAACTTGTCTGTAAAGGGAGTGATACGTGCCATTCATAAATTATTTTAATATCGTAACATAAAAAATATTCTGTCAAAAGAAAACAAACAACTATTTAATCAATGCAATAATTTAACATGTAACAGCTTGTTTTTTATAAGCACACCCACACACAACCGAAACCAGCCTATTCTTTTGTGTGCCATGGGATTCCTTGGAAATATTTTCCATCATTTGGGACAGGATTGTGGCCATGCAGTTTAAAGTGTACGAACATGGATTCTGGTGGTTGAGTTTTTTAAATGTACTTTTTGTACTTTCGTAAATGAGGGAGTATGCGTGGCATAAATTGGGGGTTCACCTGATCCTTATCTTGCAAAATTCTGCATAAACGTGTTGAAGGTGTGACGCCTGTTCTTTAGGAAATGCTTCAAACTTCATACTTACTTGATATCTCATGTTGTGTAAACCATTCTAAATGGAAACAAAAAGGTAGGCAAATCTTACCAATGTTTTCTGTAAATGTTGTATAAACAGGGATGTATTTTACAAGGCTTCTGATAAGTTTAATATTGTTCGTTTATGGTTGGGCCTATACATTGTAACTCAGTTTGAATATTCTTATAATAGAAGGTAATATGATAGTGAGGTTCCCTAATAAATATGGAGGAAAAAATCATTTAATTGGATTTTTCGCGTTTTGATAAATGTTTTATTATTAACATTTCCATCTCATCTGTTATTATGTTGATATGAGCCATGTTGGTGGTCAAGCAGAAGTAGGGCGGCAGTGTTGTGTACATCCACAGTGAAGTGGTCATAAAATCAGATGCATTTTATCTAATTTATTGATTGTCCCATCAAATTCGAGTATTTCACGTAGTCATGGTAGAATTGGTATTATGATACATGACTCAACCACAAAAACAAGTTTTAAAAAAACCCTCAATAGTAAAACCCACCAGTTCAGCACTTGCCTTGTATAAAGAAATGAGAAACACTTTGTGAGTTATTCTCTGAAAAGTATCCCTACTCTTGTTTGAAGTCAAACTTGTTGCCATGGAAGCAATTACATTTTGAAGTTACCATTAGCATAAGGTACCAGTCCAGTGAAAGCCTAATGTATCCAAAGTTATTGTACACTGTTGAATGGTGTATGAGTTATGCTCCAAAATCAATTCCTAGATTCACCTGTGCCAAACTCTTCCAGTCTAAAATCACTGTTAACAGGCTAAAGTCACTTTATAAGACAAAATATTATGGATGTGAACTTCTTCTTCATTGTATACACGTTGTAGGGCTTTCCCTTTTTCATTTCACCTGATGAAAGGGCAAGGAAAAACCCAGAAATGTTGTGTGTACAATAAAGATGTTCACATCCATAATATTTTGTCTTATATCTGAATACCAACTTCTATATGCCTCTCAAGAACCTAAAGTCACTGGTCAGCCGAATATATCCAAATATAGTGTACTACATCAGACTGGTAGGAGACAGAAGACTCTAAATCCAACCATTCCAATCAGGACTTTGTACTGTTTGATCATGTCAGGACTGACCACCCCTTCACAGAGAATACAACACCTAACATTCCTTCTTCCTTTCTATCAAGCTTTGAATGTTGTTCTCCAAAGAAAATGAATCAATATTTTGGTCAATGCTTCTTCCAAGTACATCTTTAACTCTATTTCATATCTTAACCTAAATCTTTGTGGAATTTCTATTAAGTTTACATGAAAGAATTTTTTCCAAATACCTTGGTTATAGATGCACTACATTTCTACAGATCAAACACAAAGCAAGCCAGTGGATATCATAAGCCAATTTTGAATCTGTTAACAAAGTAAAATTCAAATTTCAATGCCTTCCCTGGGTTTTACCTCAACTCACAAAAATGGGGGTTTCGGGGACCTGTAATTATTAGAGTCCATGAATGCAATATGAGGGTCCTGGGAAGTTAAGAAACTGTACGTTTTGATAATTTCTTTAGAGCTTGGAATGAATCATTGATCATGAGGACTGATGGATGAACTAATCAACGTTACTGCTCCGAAAGTAACAATCAACATTTGGCAAAGTCATAGATGTGATGTGGGCACAGTGAATAATATTGTGCGTCCGTCTGTATGCAGTGAAATTTTCTTCTGCACCCATTCTCTTCAGAGAGAGGGAGGGAAAGAGAAAGGTAGAGAGGAGGTGGGGGAGGGAGGAGGGAAAGAGAGAGGGAGGGAGGGAAAGAGAGAGGAGAAAAGGAGGGAAAAGAGGGGGAATGAGAGAGGGGATGAGGAGGAAAGAGGGGAAAGGGGAAGAGAGGGAGGGAGGGAGAGGGAGAGAAAAAAAGGTGATATGGACGCAGTGAAATTTGTTTCTGCACCCATTCTCTAGAGAGAGAGGGAGGACGGAGGGAGGGAAAGAGAGGGGAGGGGAGAGAGGGGAGAGAGAGGGGGAGAGAGAGAGAGGAGGGAAAGAGAGAGAGGAGGGAAGAAGAGAAAGATGGAGAAGGGAGGGAAAGAGGGAGGGAGAGAGGGAGGGAAAGAGAGGGAGGGAGAGAGAGAGAAAGGGGGAGAGAAAGGGGAGAGAGAAAGGGGAGAGAGAGAAAAAAAAGGTGATACGCCACAGGACTGCTTGCTGTGTCTCACACAACATAAGACCACACTTTGTCAAAAGATCCTACCTTGATTTTGGAATGAGTGAGTGATTGAGGTGAGTTTTATGCCGCACTCAGCAATGTTCCAGCCAAATGGCCGTGGTATGTAAATAATCAAGTCCTGACAATCCTGTGATCAACAGCATGAGCATTGATCAACACAACAGTGTCATCAATATCCCCTACCATATTGTCAAATTGCATTTTTGTTAAAATAGTAGAGAAAAAACAAAGAGAAAGTGAGCCTTACTACAGAAGAAAAGCTATTATGGCATATGTGTTTTAACTTCGTGTTGAGATGAACCTAGTATTAGTAACTTAAGCAGTCTCCGAGAAAACATATCTGCATTACAACTAAAATGCACTAAGTAAACCTTAGAAAGACAAAATTGACTTGAATTTGTTTTCAGAAATTCTAAAATGTCCAAAGGAACCTGTTCAGAATATACTGAACACACATGCAAAGTTTCTTAACATAATATTAAAATGGTTTACGCTCCAGAAACTTAATTATAACACATGTCTGAGTCCAGTTAGTTGCCAAGGAATAATAAAAATATTTTGTCAGACTGAATGACTGAGTTTTGGTTTTACGCCGCTTTTAGCAATATTCCAGCAACATCACAGCGGGGCACATCAGAATATTTTGTCAGAAATACCATAAGATCAAAATGTACCAGGTCAGTTTGTGTTCGATATATATGCAAAGTTTCATACTATATTATTAAAAAGTTTGAGATATTCTCTGGAAATGGGCAGATGGACAGACAATGTACAGACACCAACCATTTCAATATCCCCTTCCCACTTCATGATACTTGACAGCAACCAGAACATAGATGCTATTTCAAGGATTTTGTTTTCACAAGCTTTGTGAACCTGTTGATGACAATTTTGCACTTTCGTTGTTATCAAAATACTTACTACTTTAAGATCTGCTTGTCGGGCCATTCTGAACACCTTGTTAGCTTTTGCCAAACCAATTCCTGGTAATGAAGCAAGGTAATCACAACCGGACAAAATGCACATGTACCGGAACTTATCAAAAGTGTAAAAATCACTTCTTATCTTCAGTACTTCATTTAGTCGAGATTGCTCCACCAAAATTCCATTACCAAAGACATCCATCTTGAATATTACCTGCAAAATAGAAAGCAAATATAACAAATTGTTACCTTTACGATAACTTTGTCGAATTCTGATTGGTCAAAGCATACGAAACCATATAGGCAGATTTGGCCATCACATCTGTCACATGACACACTACACTTGTTGTACAAATGACCTTGACCTTAGATGGAATGTGGCTGCCAAAAAGCTGATCACTTCGAAATTTTAGAGTTGGCGTAAACAATTATTTTAGTATAAACAGAGTAATATAATTGTTGTCTTATTTGTTAGTGTCAATAAAAATATCAAATATCAATATATTCTGTATTTCACTTGTCGTTTAACAAAACTTCAAATTCGATCATTTTTATCATGAACTAAAATAATGTAATTTTTATGATAAAACTGATATTTTATACTTATCCTGACTCATGCTATATGCTTATCTCCTTTTTCCTTCGAACGGTAAGTGGAAACTTGAATCCCTTTGCTCCCTGAAGCAAACATAAAATCACTCACCCAGCTGGGTTACCTCCCTTTCCTCTCCCTGTGACTGAATAGTCAATATAGCATTTGCCGGTGTACTCCCTGTGAGCGATTTTTACAGCTTCATCATGTTGAATTTTGAAGAAATTGGGGGAACCACCTATTTCTAAATAAATATACCGCAGTAATTTATTCGAATTCGTGGATTTAATAACTAGTATCTATGATGTCTACTAATCTGCAACGACCGTCATGTTTAGGTAAGAAAGTTACTATATCACTTATATACTGACTTATCACATAAGACAGTGACGCATAAACTTTTCTGCCTAACTGGCGTCAACAAGTCAACGTGATACGGGTGAGTTACTCATCATCTGGCTGGAATCATGAGGTCCGAACTTGTGTATCCCGGATATGTCTTCTGTAGCAATATCCCTCAGATAATGATTCGCAAATGCTGTGTCCAATCTCCAGAAGCAGCCCTCCATTATGGATGAGCAATTCCCATCTAATGCTAGTGTTGAGGCTAACGCCCTAATCTCATGTGGGTTCGATGCCGTTGGTGGGTCCTACCCTGCTGCTCTGTAAGCTGGTAGAATAACTGCTCTGATCCAAAACTAGATATTAGTTCAGGACACTTCAATAGTCGTGGCAGGTGGTAGCAGGATGAAAAGATGCTTGGACTTTCTCCTTGTAGTTTTCTCCAGGTATATTTTCAACGCTCTGACTAGACATAAGGACAGGTCTTGTGTATTGTCTGGTCCCAGTATCGTAGATGAAACTGTCAATCTGGCTGGCCTGGTAGTTGATTTTTCACTATAAACTCCCATCCCAAATGGACTGCAGCGTGTTGTCCTTTGTCAGCCTAGTTCGTCAGAAATCCTGTGTATGTATTTCCGACATTCTTGCCGCTGTTGCCAGGGCTAGGAGAAATAACGTCTTTTGTGTCATACATTGTTGGTTCTCCTATGAGCTGTATTAGGTCTGGAAACCAGGGCGCAACCAAAAGAAGACATAGTATCTTGGTCTGTGCTATTTTGTGTAGTTTTTTGTGGTAACAGGACCGACAGTGGAAACGCGTATACGCGTTTAGTCCCTCCCATGGGATTGATAATGCATCGAGAGCCCAGGCTTGAGGATCCGATACTGGTGAGACATACGTTGTCACCTGGCAATTGCAGTGTGTCGCAAATAAATCTATGAGAAGACGACCTTGGTCGTTAGTAGTTGGAATGCCTCCGGGTGACGACGTCGGCTAAGACATTCTTTGCTCCTGGGATGTGGCACGCCTTTAGCTACAGGTTGAGGTCGTCTGCTATGCTGAACAACTGGAATGTCAGTTCTAATCGAAGTGCCGATTTTGTTGAGCCTTGTAGATTTATGTAGAAGGCTACAGTCGGTCGTCTGTGTAGATCATGAGAAACTGATTCCTTAGGAGCTGTGCCCAATGCTGAACTGTGTTTATGACCGTTTTGAATTCCAACCGATTAATGTGTAACAGTCTCCCTCCAGCTCCCTGCTGTCATCCCTGAGTTGATCTCCTGATTGGTGATGCACTTGAGGGCTGATGGTAAGCGGAGGCGTTGCCTTGAGCTGAATGTTGTATCCCTCTCGTAAATCTGTCACATAATTGTCTCCCAACATTCTCCAATTTTCCCAGTAGCTGTTCAGACATCCACCCACAGTCGACAGTTATATGGGAATGATTGGGGGTGGAACGCACCAATCGCTCTGAACCTGATCTTCATCGTTGTGATGCCCTGGAGTATCCATAGGAACGACCTCTGCCGGGACTTCCCCTGAAGTTATCAGATGACGGTCGAAAAGATGACAACTTGCCACCTCTAATTATAAGATGTTTCTTTTCCTTGGCCTTCTGGATGCCTGGAAATCTTTAGCAAACACTTCCTTGAGATTTTCTGGTACCTGAGATATCGGTTTCATAGGTGGGATGGTGATAGAGTTGAAATCATCATCTTAAATACGATTAGTTGGAGTCTCGGGTAGGTGAGGATATAGGCAAACCATCATCAATCCATGATAATACCTCCACATTGTTGTAGATAAGGGGTCCGATTCATCCTGAGGTTCATCATCCATAATTGGAACAACTTCTGGTGTAGGGTTCGCGAACCCTGTAGATGGGTGTGGCTCCGGTAGTTGAGGTTAGTTGACATTCCATAGCCTGGATAACTTTACTCGTAATGTTGTCCACAAAATCGTCTGGATTAAACACCTGTGTAGATGCTTGATGATAAGGTATAATCTCAAGAGGTTTGCGAACCTGGCTCAATGACATCAGCGTTCGCGAACGCTAACGGATTGTCTACAATCTGCTGAAGATATCAATCAGTTGATGGCCTTGGAGGGTTCGCGAACCCTGTGGTGGTCTGTGTTGATGTAGGCTGCCCGTTGGTCTGAGGGTTCGCGGACGACATCGTAGATGAACTGCGAGGAGTAGACTGCCTAGACTTCGCCGTAGAAAATGTGTGACTGGACTGCGTCATGGGCTTGCAAAACCCCGTCGTAACTTTGAGACATTGTTGTGGTGGTAAGAAGATTTCTGGCTCCAAAGTTGCAGGCTGCAACATGAATAAGTTGAGAACTTCGCCAGGTCGTTGTCAATTGTCCTAACTTCGGCAGCCGGCACAGCGGATCCTAGTAGATTTAGATCTAGACTTCGATGGCCTTGACTTCTTCGTCCGCGACGACGTAGATTACGTCTTCGTAGAAGACTGTGATTCCGAATCCTCTCTCAGAGGGGACTTCCTTTTAGACTGAGATGCAATTTGATTAGAAATAGGCAAGTCCACATCTAGTGACACATTAGTGGATGTATTGGCAGATGACATATTAGATAGATGGCGACAGACATCAACAGAGCTCCCATTGTTTTTATATTTACACAAGTCAGTAAGTTTTGAGGAACCATATCTTTGTGCTTACAACCCTGCAAGTATGGGTGGATTCCACCAGTGTGTGATTTTAGCGATGACGTTAAGTATATTTGTCCGCTGCGTGTCATCGTCTTGGAGGCCATTAGTGGACTCCTTAACAGCGAACCAAGATGGACGTCATTGGCACCAGTATGGACGGGAAGAGCTGCTGGCGCTGCAGGAAACCACATTGGAATTGAAAGGACTTAGAGACTTGCCCCCGGAAAGTGCATCAGACAAGGGGAATAATTTAAATTCAAATTCAAATTCAGGATCAAAAGTTACTAGGAAACAAGGTAAGCGGGGAGGAGTCCGCCGACGACATCGGGCACAGAAATCATGACCACCTCTTCCAACTTTTCTATTATCAAACGTGAGGTCTCTTAAGAATAAACTGGACGAACTTTCAGCAAGCACTAAATATTTGTACAAATTCAGAGACAGTTGCATTCTGTGTTTTACGGAGACATGGCTATCACCCTCCGTGGATAGTAACACCCTCTATTTGGAAGGATTTGGTACTCCAGTTCGATTAGACAGAGATTCAGATGCTACAAGGAAATCCATTGGAGGAGGTGTATGTATGTATGTTTATAAATGAAAAGTGGTGTCGTAACTATCTTGTGAGAGAAAGAATATGTTCACCAAGCATCGAACTTCTATCAGTGTCTATGCGGCCTACTTATCTACCACATGAATTCAGTCAGATCTTTGCTGTGAGTGTCTACATACAACCCAGTGCAGGGGTGGAAATAACTTTAAAATTGCTAGTGTACTCCAGTACAGTGGCACATGTAAAATCACTTGCCCTGATAATTTTTCCACTATACCGGGCTGATTTTCCTGTTCATTTTTTAAAAATAAGCAACATAATTAACACTGGAAAGTCAACTGGACGCCTGTACAGCGTGATATACAACTCTGCTAGCCCGACAAAAAAAAGCACTGGACTCGGACGTCGAGCATTGGGTTATTTCCACCCCTGCAATAGCAATAACAAACAAGCAGCTGATGTAGTTCATAATCATGTTCAATCCCTAGAGCTGATTTGTCCTGATGCGCCGACATTCATACTTGGAGATTTTAATGGATGTATCCTGAAGTCTGTGCTTCCCACCTACAATCAGTATGTAACATGTTGTACACAGAAAGACAAGATCCTTGACTTGTGTTATGGTAACATCAAGAACGCCTACAATTCATATAGTAAACCACCCCTAGGAGCTTCGGACCATAATTCTGTGTATTTGCTGCTCACATATCGTCAAAAGTTAAAAACAGAGAAGGCTATTGTTAAGACTGTCAAATCATGGAACAAAGAATCTATTGATACCCTACAAGGATGTTTTGCGTGTACAGATTGGGACATGTTCTATGATGCGGAACAAACATTAGAAGGAATGTGTGATGTCATTACTGATTATATAAATTTTTGTGTCAACAACATAGTACCAGGAAAAGAAATCAGAATTTCCCAAACAACAAACCCTGGATCACAAAAGAAATGAATCTTTATTAAACGAAAAGAAACGAGCATACATGAAGAAAGAAAGAATAAAACTCAAATGCATACAAAAGGACATCAATCTTAAAGCTTGTGAGTGTAAACTAGCGTACAAAGAGAAAGTTGAGAGACAGTTTCAGCAAAGCAATCTGCAACAAGCATGGCAAGGCATGAACACGATGATTGGCAAGAGCAGGCGACGACGGACAACCAACGCCAGGGATAATAAGACCTTTGCTGAGGACCTCAACACTTTCTACAGCCGCTTTGATTGTCACGATTTTACCGATGAGAGAGCTCAAGTTAGTGAAGCCGTACAGGATAGTGAAAGTCGTATCCATATATCAGAAGCTGACGTCATTCAAAGCTTCTCCAGAATTAACATCAGAAAAGCAAAAGGACCTGACAACCTTGACGGCATTGTGTTGAAGGAGTGCAGACTTCAACTGTGTACAATTTTCACTAGATTGTTTCAATTCTCTGTGAATACACACGTTATTCCTTCAGTCTGGAAAACATCAGAAATTGTACCAGTTCCTAAAAAGACAACCTAAAGAACTCAACCACTACAGGCCAGTTGTTCTCACATCTACAGCAATGAAGACACTGGAACGCATCTTGTTGAGACATCTCCGTCAGGAAGTTGCCGACATACTGGACCCGCTTCTGTTCACCTACAGGTCAAGGAGAGGAGTTGTTGATGTCACACTGTCACTCCTTAATAATGTCTGTAAACATCTAGAGACACCTAAGCAGGGCTACAGATAAGGGGCGTACAGGCGTAATGTACACCTCAAAATCAATTAAGTACGACATAATATAAGATTTCAAGCGTATCGTGTACTCACATAAATACCTTCGTACGTCTAACATTTAATTTCCGTTCTTATCATGCAAATGGAAATCTATTTCGGATAAATATTTGTTGTGAGGTTTCTTTTGCGAAACACGATTTGACACATAAGGAAACCCCGACAGTAGGAATCCCTTGCGTTGCCATGCAACGATATGCGTCACTATTTTTCGATTGGCTAAAAACTACACTGTTCCTATTTATATCCAGTCGGACCTGACATTTCGCGCATCACACAGTCGCTCATTTATTTCTCACGCGTCTTCAAATACAAACACATGGTTGGAAATAGTGATTGATGAATCGTCCAGACAAACCACATCAACTCGCTCACACAAAAACATGTCAGTACTCCTTCAAAATTCTCAGTACACCTCCACTTGCAATATGATGTGTAAGTACACTCACACCCCCAAAAGTCATACATCAGGATCCTCTTCGTTTACTTTTCATCTGCGTTCAACACCATCCAGCCACATATCATTATACAGAATCTGATAGACATGGGCGTTAACTCATACCTCATCAAGTGGATCGAAAACTTTCTTGTGGACAGACAGCAGTACGTGAAAGTTAACGGGGCTGTATCGAGTAAACGGACCACAAGGCTGTGTAATATCTCCTGTTCTTTTCACCCTCTACACTAATGATTGTGCAAGCTCGAATTCAACCTGTTCAACTGTAAAGTTCGCAGAGGATGCAGCAATTGTCGGCAAACTGAACGACACTGATTCTGAAGAACTGTATAAAGAGGACATTAATCATTTCACGACTTACTCTTAAATGTCACATTATTATTCTATTCTATTGTGACTTGTATTATTATATAATAGAGCAAAACCAACACTCACAGCGTAGGTCTTGTTATCACACTGATACCCTGTCTAATTATTTTGCGTAAACAACACAATAAATATTTATTAAACTCAATTGTAGATAAATGTGTGCAATATATACAACGTGAAACCAATGAACACAAAGAAAGCCAACAAAAATTGCAGACAGGGTGAGGGATCAGCCGCTGACATATGCACTCTACATTGCTGACATGCAGGCAAACAAATTCAGTCACCTCAAATCGGAGTAAAACATAAGTTTTAGACAATAATTTACGTGAATAAATGCAACATATACTTAGTAAAATGCCTAAATGTACAATTCACAGCATAATTTTTATCAAAAGCCTAAAGATAACAAAGGATATAAGCCGCGAAAGGGCCCAAGGTATCCGCCCAACCGTCCGCTAGGGCGATGAAGGAGAGAGTGACAAGAGCATGCCTCTGTGCTGGTCACGTGGGACACAGTGGCAGGGAAAGTGAAAGGGAGGTAACCCAAGTGGGTGAGTCATTTTACGTTTGCTTCAGGGAGCAAAGGGATTCAAGTTTTGCGTCTCATTCTGCCGAAGTTTAAAAGTTGTTTTTAAAGATAAGCTAAAAATAAAGAAATCTTACGGGGAATAAATTCGTCACAGGAAATACGGAATTTACAAGGGTCCCATACACCATTTCAAAACACTGTGTAACTAATAACATCACTGTCTGTCACTGCCTACACAACTCATCCTGGGAGACATCTGCCAAATATTCATGCCATCTTCTGCCACTAGTGTCACTGACAATGAAAGTAATGATTCCTATGTTCCAAGTATCAAATTTAACAGTATTGCAACAATGACTACGGCAGTATACATTTTGAGCTTTTTTCTGATGATTGTTATAATAGTGGCAGCAAATCAAAAAAGAATTGCTCAGGAAATTATTTTGATGCTATTTCATCATCTGCTCGACTCATAAATCAGAGTGACCTTCATTTGTTGTGTTTGTAAGCTCCATCTCATGTGGAACACGTTCATCATTGTTCAGGTATATAGACAGCTCCAAGGACATGCTATCACTGTGAGGAGTTTGTTTTCATTAGTTGAATCAGTAGGGGTAAGTTAGTTATTTGAAAAGTTTAAGGAATTTCTAGAAGGCTGTCAGAACTTACAAGATCAAACAAGAGCTATTCAAGACCAGCTATGGCCTGACTTGCATTCTTCATGAGCAGTGTGGATACAAGACACAAATTCTTCTCCCATCTTGCATCACCTTTCCGGGATTCAAGAATGTAGCTCATCCTTCATTCAACTTAAGACAAAATCTACATTGCCATATTAATCCACTGTATTGCCTTTTGTATCCTAAATAATTCAAATACTACTTGTATTGCATCAGAATTACTCTTTTTCGACACAGGTCAATGGGAACTCATAGTACTCAAGATTTACATCGCATCTATATGTTTTGTCTCACTGTCAAATTCAAATGAAACCCGGCCCTGCATTTACATGCATGGCAAAAATATAGGTCACTTCTTGTACAAGCTTGTTCAACATTGCATATGAATGTTCTGAATGCATGTAAAGAGAATGAACTTCCAGGCAGCAGTGCAAGTCCCTCTATATTCTGTGCAGTGGTTTCTGAGGACGAGATGTTAATGACAATATTTTGGCATTTTCCAATTTGTCCACTTGTGGTCACTTTTAATTCCTCATCAAAGTGCATTGATCACACTTTAGGCTGACCATTCCACCAAGAAAGTTTCAGGCCTCTTGCCCTTTTAATTTTGGAGTAGATGATATTTTTATTTAAATCGAACTGGATTCATGAACCATTTTGAGGTAGTAAAATAATATGGATGACACCGAAGCTGGCAAACTTGGGATAGTAAGGAGAACTTAAATTCATTGAATACAACCCAAAATACAATCAATACCGAATGTGAAAGATAATAAGTGAGTGAATAATATATGAGCTATTATCATTTCAAGCAACATAAAGGTCTGGGATAGACACTTTAAAAGGATATCTTTATTGCAGTTGCAGTTATTGGATCTAATGATGTACAGAACATACCTTATCACAGCCGAAAAGCAATAAATCTGAGTCTTCTGTAACAACTATTTGAGCCACACCAATCTTATTGAGATATGCCAACTGTGCATCTGCTTCATATGGAGCCACAATACAATCCACGCCTTGTTCTCTGCAGGCCTGAAAATATATGACGATACATTTTCATCTTCAGAACATAGTCTAAACTATATTATTTGCAAGTGTTTCAATGTTTTAATGAAAATGTTTCATGTCTTATCAATCACTGATAAATGAATGATATTACAAACTTAATTATTTAATGTTAAAGGCACTATGTCACACCACATTTCTCTAAAAATAATTCTGAAATGCTTCCGCTAACATCACTGGTGGAAAACATTACGTTTACTTTTTTCGACGGACATAATGGCAACATTCGAAATGTTTACATTCCCACAATGCATCCGTGGAATGTCGCATGACTAGTCAGCTTCATCTGGATATACTGATCTAAACTTACGCTGGTAGTAGAAATGCAACGTTCATATTGACCCATATGGTTTACGTTAATCACAGATGTAACAAGAAAGTGTGTTTACTCGAGAAAACAGATGTCTCCGCCTTTGCCCAATTCAACGTAGAGACCTCAAACAATTCATACGATTCCTTCAATTTCAAAATCTCTAAGTACGAAAATACATATTATTGATAGTATGTTAGTATGTTTGTAAAGTCTTCATTTTGGTAAGTATTTTAGATATTTACATACTTACCTCTTATTATCTTATATGCATACTTGCCTTACTCTCCGAAAACAGACTGCAGAAGTCGAGATCGAAAGCTTGCTAACCTATAACTCGCGAAGGTGGTTCGATTGAAGACATCCGGGTGACCGGTAAGGTCACAGCAGTCTATCACGTGGACACGTGAACAAGTCATTCCTTTCGCATCGAGCAACAAGGCAGAACGATGAAAGTGAGGAGGCAGCGAAGACTCGGGTGGGCTTCAGACTTGATGATAAGAGGTAAGTATGTAAATATCTAAAATACTTAGATTTTACCAAATTCTTTACTTACCTCTTATCATCTTATATGCATCTTATCCGACAGTCCTGGAAGGTGGGACGTTCGAACCGTTGTTCACTCAAAGAGACCAACGAATCAGACGTATGGAACAGTGAATGCTTGGGGGTCTGCAAGCAAAACAAAGACCATGAAAGTGCCGCACGTAAAGGGAACAAAAGGTGAGGTACTCTCACGATTGTTCCTGTACAAATGTCACAAAGCCTCCAAAGGAAGAAAACAACGCCTCGTACCTTAGTGAGTAGAAGGACGTGTCATCTGTTGAGCCACCACAAGAGGACTAAAACTCTGAAGGCCTTCCACATCTTCAACTGCCACGTCTCGAAGATAATGGCTGGCAAAAACAGTGTTAGACTTCCAAAAACAGCCCTCCATAATCGTGGGAATTGAACAATTCCTATGAAGAGCCATTGTGGAAGCCAAAGCCCAAATTTCATGTGGGTTATTCGCCTTAGGAGGAGGTAACCCGGCTGCCTCGTAGGCATTGATGATTGTCATCCGCAACCAGAGGGCCACTGTGTTCTTGTTGACCTCCCCTTTGGAGCCAGTCGATAAAGGGAGGAACAACCGTTTTCTCATCCTTCGCCTAGGAGCTGATCTAGAGATGTATTCTCTTAAAGCTCTCACGGGACAAAGGGAAAGCTCGTCTGTGTCCTCTGCCCCTACCACAGAGGAGAGAGGTGGAATGGTGAATCTCCGATCTGGTTGTCCCGGCAACTGATTCTTAGCCACAAAGTCCCATAAGAGACCCAAGTGGACAGCACCATGACGAGATTGCTCAAAGTGGATTCTCGTGACGTCTAGGGCGTGAATCTCGCTAACCCTCGCGGCTGTGGCCAAAGCCAGAAGAAAGACCATCTTCCTGGACAACAGAGCAAAAGACGCCTGGCATAAAGGGTCATACGGGGGACCTCGCAAGTGTTGGAGAACAATGTTGAGGTCCCAAGCCGGTGGACGAAACTTCACTTTCTGGTCCTCCAGTTTGAAAGCTTTCAACATAGCCTGCAACTCGGGGATCTTGGATACTCGCACCTCCGTTTTTACTGCCAGAACAGAGTTGATGGCCGAGAGGTAAGTCGCGATGGTGCCTCCTTTGAGATGACGAGAATTCCGGAGATGAAGGAGGAAACCCGCCAAAAATTGAGGGGAGGCCGTCAACAGTCGCACAGAACGAGAGGAACAGAACCGTTCAAAGGTAACCCATTTGTCATCATACAGACCCCTCGTTGAAACTCGATGAGCCCTCGAGATGATTCTGGACGCACCCTCCGAATAACCTTTTGCTCTCAAGGTCCTCTGTAAATGACCCAAATGCAGAGATTGAACCTCTCTGGGTCTGGGTGAAGTTGTCTGCTGTGAGGGTGAAGCAAAAGATTTCTCTACCCGGGGCAGACGAACTGGGTTTGCGTTGGCTAGACGCCTTAGCTCGGGGAACCAACCCCTCGCCGGCCACCAAGGCGCGACCAAAAGCAGTTTCAGACGAGTAGTTTGCCTTATTTGCGCAACGATTTCCGGCAGAAGCACTGGAGGCGGGAAGGCGTAGGCGTCGAGACTTTCCGAAGACAGCGACAGAGCGTCGACTGCCCACGCGGCTGGATCCGGGATCGGAGACACATAAACCGGAAGTTGATTGTTCAGGTTTGTGGCGAACAAGTCTACCATGGGCCTGTACTGGGACTGGCAAACGAGATCGAACGCCTCAGGATGAAGCATCCATTCGGTGGGTGATGATTTGCCGGGCCTGGATAGAGCGTCTGCCAGGATATTTTTGCAACCGGGAATGTGTCGTGCTCGAACTGTGATGAGAGCCTGATCCAGAATCTCGAATAGCTGGAACGACTGATGGAGAAGACGTTCGGGAACCCGTCGTCCCCTGATTGCGTATCACCCAAACCACTGTCCGATACAATGAGTAAGTTGGCTCCAGTGAGGCGATCTCGCCAATGAGATACTGCCAGAATCACAGCTAGAAATTCCAAGCTGTTGATGTGCCAGGACTGATGTTCTGTTGACCACAGTCCCGAGACTGTGTGGCCGTCCAGGTGTGCTCCCCACCCCTGTAGTAAGGCGTCCACAAAGAGTTCCTGGTTTGGGGAGAATTCGCTCAAACAGACTCCGTCGCAGACATTCGATGGGTGAGTCCACCAACGAAGGTACCGGTGCAGATGCCACGGCAGGGGAATGCTGGACCTGAGATCGTCGGCTTCTATGAACGGTTTCAAAAACCTCTGAAGAGGCCGAAGCATGAGCCTCCCCCTGCTCGTGAGGTCCTGTGCCAATGTCAATAGACATAGAATAGCCTGCCAATCCCTCAACTTGAGAGCCTGGGTCAACCCCTTGTGGACGCAGGCGAAGATCTTCACCCACCTGTCGGTAGGGATTCTGAGCTTGTCTTGATCGGTGAAGAAAAGTCCTCCTATGAAGGTGAGTCTCTGAGACGGCTCCAGATACGACTTCTCCCAATTGATCAACCAACCCAGTTGAAGGAATAATCGGAGAGCGTATTCCTTCTGTCTGACAAGCCTTTGACGATCCCAGTTGTTCATTAGACAATCGTCGATGTAAGGGCTGAACTCTATCCCTCGTAGATGAAGGAATCGTGTAATCGGCACCGTGATGCGTGTGAACAGCCACGGGGCCGAAGAAATTCCAAATGGGAGTACGCGCCATTGGAAATGCTGGCCCTGGAAGTAAAACCTGAGTTACTTCCTGTGGGGCCTGAAAATAGGAATGTGCAGGTACGCATCCTGTATATCCAGGCTGATAAGCCAGTCCCCTGGAGACATCTTGGTCCAAAGCTGGTCCAACGAAACCAGTCGAAAATGAGGAGGATCCAACAGGTAACGGTCGTTGAACACCGCCATATTGTGAATCATTCGCATTTTGTTGGTGTTTTTCTTGGGGACCAGAAAGATCGGCGAGTAAAACCCGAGGTTGTTGTTTGGGTCCTGTACCAGTTCGATGGCCCTTTTGTCGAGCAAAATCTGAATGTTTTCCGCTATTTGCTGATGTTGAGCCGCAGAATAAACGCTTGACCGAGGCAGGTTGGTCAGAGGCGGCGAACTGCATAAGGGAAGCTGGTACCCCCTTTTCAGAATGTTGACCACGAAGGGATCCTCCAGGAATGTCCAGTTGGGCCAAAAGATCCCCAATCTTCCGCGCACAGGTGTGGGATGGATCTGACGACCATCAGCGGAAGGTCCCAGTCGTGGAAGTCCGATGCCTCAGCGGCGTTGATATTGAGGTTTGGTGACGGCAAGGGGCTTACCTCTCTTGCCTGGGGCACCACCGGTGGGTCGTCCCTTGGTTTGCCTGAACTTGCCAGCCCAGCAGACACAGGTGCGCTTGCCAACATAGGAGTTGGCCTTGGGCGCTGGATTTGTCTTACAAATGGCTCGAAAAGACTTGAGGGCTATCTCCGTGGTTGTAAAGGACGAATGTTCCTTATAAATCCCCCTTATGGCATCATTAAACAGGCACCGAGCAGAAAAAGGCTGACGAAGCAACTTCCTTGTGAACTCCGGTTCCCAAGCACATGCCGAGAGAAAACCAGATCGACGCACTGCCGTGGTATTGGCCAACGCAACTCGAACATGACCAACAATGTCCCCCAAAGTGCGAGATTGTCAATGCATCATTGTTGTGAGATGGTCAATCCTTGAACCATTCTCTTCCTCCAAATCCTGAGAAATGGCCTCCGTAGGCGAGGCCAAGGCCGACAAGGGACGGAGCATTCTTTTCAATTCCGTATTAATAGCAGCCAACTTGGAGTCAGGAACCCTATACGAGGAGACAGGAGTAGACGAAAGGCGATCCAATTCCTCATCGTGAACTGCGGCCTGGTCAGAGAAATCCAAGGAGTGAATAGGATAATCACCCCTATGCGCTTTAGCCGCCCGGAAGTTATGATTCAGAGACAACTTAGCAAATTCCTCATCCAGAGAGTCAACCAAGTCCCGGACAATAGGGTGAGGCGGAAGACGAAGATCGGGTGAGTCCCATATAGTGAGCTTCTTATCCACCCCTGCAGCTGGAGAAGGTCAAGTAGTCTGCAGTCTATCCGCCATCCAATCAAACACTGCCTCAATGCCTAAA